TTGTGGAATGCGAGCCGGCTCTCATTCTGCTTTCTCCAGAAACAAAGGGACACAAATGCACAGGAGAAATGGACTTTTCTACTAATTAATTCATAGGAAAACCTTCTTTGAATGAACACCCATTTTCTTCAGGCCATTGTGTATATTATTGCTGTGTTGTATTTAATCTGTTGTATTATAGACTATTTTTATTCATGCTTACGATAAACCACTCATTCATATAAGTAACTATTTCATGTCTAGTATCTATGAATTCGCCTTCTTATGATCGAAACAAGTGTGTATATTATATGCTGATACCTATGCAACATATTGATGTTCTAAGAATCGGTACTAATTTGTGCCTCAACACTCCAGCGAATTACATATGCAAAATACCATGCTTACAGACAAAGACTCATAAAAATCCTCAGTATTTCCAACCTCCCGCTTGGGATTTCAGCCTTCCTCATTGGACGAACCCATCTTGAGAGGCGTGAATCTCTGCAGGCTTTAAAAGGCCACACTCCATGTGACCCGCCCAGTCGGTGGTTCAGTGAGATGCTAAGATGAAGATGTGAGAAACGCTCCAGGATACCAAAGCTCGTGCCAGGCTCCGGCCTAGTCCTTTTCATTCACCAAGTGATTCTGACTCAAACTAGCTCTTTCTCATCAACCAACTTCAGCAAGATCTTGGGGCCTTAAGATTGCATCAGGAATCTTTTTCAGACATACGCAAGTATCAAACTTAGTCGATTTAATTGATGCATTAAGTATCAGTTACACCTTTTTACAAAGGTGTAACTGATACTTAATGTATCAATTAATAAGACTAAGTTTGATACTTAGCGAGCCTCGGCGGTCTGAAAGAGATTCCTGATGCAAATCTTAAAGCTTCCCGTAGATCTTTGCTGAATTCGGGTCGATGAAAAGAACCAGTTTGAGTCAGTGTCACTTGATGAATGGAAAGGACTAGGCCGAAGAAAAGGCCTGGCACAGATGCTTTGGTATCCTGAAGCGTTTTTCTCACATCTTCATCTTTGCTTCTGACCGAACCACCGACTGAGGCGGGTCCCTGGAGCCGGGCCTTTAAGGTCGGAGAAGATCTCCGCCTTTCAAGATGGGCTTGTCCAATGAGCAAAATGGAATTTCCGAGCGGGAGGTGGCAATTGCTGGAGGGTTTACAACCC